AAATCGAGGAATGGTCCTGCGCGACAGAAGGACCATGAGGACTCCGTCCAGATATGTGGATGAAGCACCCACCAACCGTCAAGGGAACGACCCCGTTGACCGTGCCCTGCGCGACCTGAACCGAGCAACCCGCGGCGATGCCAACGCCGCGAATGAGGAAGACCATGTTTCGATGTCGATGACGGTGGAAGGAGTTGAGTTCGCTAGCTTGGCCTTGCCGATAGCAGATGACGTACCCAACAGCCACAGAGAGGCCATGGCGTCGCGCAACGGGACGAGTGGACCAAGGCCGAGCAACTTGAGCTCAAGCAGCTCAACGACGTCGGGACGTGGAAACTCGTGTCACTACCACCAGGACGAAAGGCAGTCGGGTCGCGATGGACATACGCCAAGAAAACCAACTCCGACGGCGTCGTAGTTCGCTACAAGGCTCGTTTGGTGTGCAAGGGCTACAGTCAAGTAGAAGGGATCGACTATTCAAACACGTACTCCCCTGTCGTGTAGATGGCAACTGTTCGCAAGTGCGCCGCATTCGTAGTCGCAAAGGGGTTCGTCATCGTTCAAGCTGACGCCGACACGGCCTTCGTTCAAGCCTCCATGGACAATGGCATTATGCTCTACGTCGACCAACCACCCGGTTACGCCGACGGCACCAAGCGCATGATGCTGCTCATGAAGGCGCTGTACGGCCTGAAACAAGCAGCGCTAGCGTGGCAAGACCACTGCCGCAAGATCCTCGTCTCCGTCGGTTTCCGCCCCAGTCAGTGCGACCCATGCTTCTACATCAGAAGGTCAGGGGAGCAGATGGATTTAATATGCATTTACGTCGACCACTTTCTCGTCATGACCAAGACGGACGACGCAGCCAACAGGATTGCTCGAAGCTAAGATGAAGCTGAAACGCCAAGGAAAAGCCGCATACTTCCCAGGGATCAAGATCAACTACAAGCGAGAACTTACAATGTCCCAGTGTGCCTACGCCAAGAGGGTACTGGACCGGTTCGGCATGACCGACTGCCATGGGTGTGCTACTCCCGAAGTGGACGCCCGCGAAGACCTATGACACGATGAATCACAACCCTCGGCCGATCAGTCAACCGACAGATCCATGGTCGGATCACTCATGTACTTGATGGTGTGCAAACGACTGGACATCGCCCACGCCGTCCAACGTCTGTCTCGACACCTCCACGACCCGCGTGAACCCCACATGGTCGGTGCCAAACGTTTATTTCCATACGTCAAGACGACTCTCGATCATGGACTCATGTACATGACGAGCAATGTGGACTCGTCGGCTACAGCGACGCTAGCTGGGCCAATCGCAACGGACGCCGTTCGACCACAGGTTTTGTGTGTTTTGTTGGCGACGGAGCGGTGTCGTGGAAGTCCGCACGCCAACGGGTCGTGGCGCTGTCCACTTGCGAAGCCGAGTACGTCGCGTTGGTGGAGCTTGCGAAGGAAGTCGTCTGACTCCGCGGCCTTTTGCAAGAGTTAGGTGATAATCAAAATTCACCGACACTTACCTTATGCGACAACAAGTCGGCAATTGCGACAGCCGAGGGGAGCGGTGTCAGCGAGCGGAGCAAACACATGGACGTCCAGTTTCACTACGTCCGGCAACTGGTCGTCGATGGCACCATCGCTATCCACCACGTAGGGACCGCCGACCAACTCGCCGATATCTTGACCAAAGTGTCCACGGGAGACGTGGACACTTTGGTTCAAGAACGCCGCGATGTCCACCGCAGCCATGCCAAAGATGCAAACTGGACAGCACAGGCTGACCCACAACCAACATAGGATAGGGAAGTGTTGAGATTTTTGGTCGTTGATCAACAATCTTCATGTTCATATAGAAGCTACCACAGCCATTCATATCCACAGAGGTCGGAGGTTTATAACGAACAGTAATTCACTCTTGAATTTATTCCACTGGCCTTGCAGCTATCTGCTCGCTCTTCCTCGCTTCAGCAGCTGCGTTCGTGGTGAGTGCCATCGTGATACGTTTCTATCACTTCCTCGTCTTAGGCTTCCGATATCGCGCAATGGACTGGTGTGGTGACATGCTGACATTAAGAAAGATTTCGATATGGAGGGGAAATAGATCCTGCCTTGCCGTGCAGCCCCTTGCTGGTAAACTCTTTTGCCGTTGGAATCTGTACAGCCAACTATTGGAGAAGCGAAGGTATGTTCTGACACCGAGTACGCCGCAGATCGTTCGAGTCTGCTGCCTGATGAGGTCGCCAGTGATGTACACGCCGAGCTCTTCGCAGAACCCACTCCGCTTGCTGTACTTTGACCACCGTCAGCACGACCCGCTGCACCTTCGTGCGCTTGGCCATGCGGCACGCAGTCTCGGTGTGCTGTAGCTCTTGAAAGCGTGTGAGACAGTCGACTTCGATGGAGTTGTTGCGAGTCCAAATGTTTGAGCTGCCCGTTTGTCCAGAGTAGAGTAGGATACATTAGGCTTGCTTAAATGCTTCGCATATAACTCATGCTTCCCCACAAGAGACATCCGCAACGTATTGCTTGGCATGCCTAATTTGATTCGCTGTACTCGTACATGAATGCCCTGAAAAGTTTGAAAATCCCTCTGACATTCAATAAGAGCCAACACCACTTTCTACCTTATTCGTCAGGACGAGCAAATTTAGGAATAGCGGTTGGTTTTGACGGGACTTTGGGGGAATTATATAAAGTGGGTGAATGACAAAAGCCGTTGCAACAAACGATTTTCAGTTTGACAGATCAGTTCATCTCAAACTTCCAATTATCAACGACTCTTGACAAATTACCCAGACACCAATTAGTTCACGATGAAAGGGCGGGTATTTCGCTATTTAGCATGCAAAAGGGTTTCGAAAAGGTATAAAGGGGTTTAAAAAGGTAGTGAACACGTTAAACAATTATAAACAGGTTATAAACAGTAGAAAAAGGGTAATACCCGTCAAGAAGTTTGACGAATCCGTTTACCGGGTTTTGGAATTTTTACCTTTTTAAAACGACTGTTTAAACCTATTAGCGAGGAATTTGAGCGTTCGGAACACTATTTAACGTGTTTATAACCTCTATGTCCATTACAAGTAAGTAAAAGCCCACCAACTGTATTTTATTCATGCAGGCATTTGTTGATGAAGCACCCGTTCTCCTCGAAGATGGATGTGTGCCACCGGCAAGTCCACGACCCAGAGCTATTCTCTCGAGGCGACGGCGTCGGCTTTGCTGTTGGCGTCGTCGCTTTTGATCTATCTTTTCCTGGGCCATTTCCTCGTAGCGGGCAAGTACAGACCGGTAACAAGTACCGTCGCCCGCGCGCAAAGGCAGCAGGGATATGTGGTAGTTTCTTAGTGCAAACGTAAGTCGTTGAATACCTTCGTATATGTCGTGTCCCCAACAGAACGTAGTGTAGGATATCTTCCACAACAAGCCCACCCGACCGAAGGAGTTTTCCACAAGGACACGGTCAGCGGATACACGACGGTTCCTCTCTTGGTCATCAGCACCATGGTATCCGCCCACAGGTCTTCTCTTCGGATGAACTCCTCGCAGGTGGTCCAGGATACCGCAGTAGCCTATATCGACAAGCATTGCCCACATGTCAGGGTACGTGACGTTGTGCTCGCCGTTGTCAATTTCATTGACCTCGCTGCTTGTCTTTGTCAGGGCCTTCAGGTGGACGTTCAAGCGCGAGCGAAGAATCGCAAGGTCGTGAGTCACGCCAAGGTGAGTTGACCTCATATCAACGCAAAATCCCTGAGGGGACACTGACGCGTCAATTTTCACCCCGTAGAGCTTGTGTGTGCCACTGAACCAAGCCTTGCGCTTGTTGAACCG